TTCAACCATGGCAAGTTTTCGACCTCATAGGCGGGACCAGCACAGGAGGGTGAGCATGTTTCTGATATAGTGTGAAATACGCTGATATATTGTCTTTCTATGAAGAATTATAGCGGTTATGCTTGGGATTCTTCGGATGAACCTCGACGATTGCCATAAAGCATATATAGACCTATCCAAGAAGATCTTCCGTCCTAAAAGAGGTAAATACAATAAGCTGATGAGAATTCTGGATGCCATCAATATTAAGGAGCGGTTCGAGTCCAAGGTTTTTGAAGAGACAATAAGGGAGATAATCAAGAAACATACTGGTGATGAGCAACACCCCCTGAAGAAAAAGGGCGAAAAGTCCCCCCAATGTAAAATGTAAGTCAGAACTCTGTAGAAAGGCACGACTCGTCCAGAATTGACCATAACAAGCTTCGTTACTACGGTCCTGGAGCAAAACTCTAAACCGATGCTTTTACGCTCGTACGATATCGAAGATCATTCAGATTTGCTCTCTGATGGGTTTTCACTTTGGGGAGCGTGCCGCGCAACATCCGCGGCCACGAGCTATTTCGAGCCTTTTGCTCATGGCAACCTTAGGTTCGTCGACGGAGCATTTGCATACAACAACCCCGTTTTCCAAGTCATGATTGAAGCGAAGGCAATGTGGAGAGATCGTCAGATGATGCTGGTTAGTATAGGCACTGGCAAGGCTGCCGGCAAGTCTCTGGATGGCAATGCGTTCTCGTTGGCGAGGACGCTACCGAAGCTAGTCACGCAAACAGAGAACACAGCGGAAGCATTCTACCACTCTCACCAAGATATGGTAGACCGCGGGCAGTATTTCCGCTTTACTGTTGACGGACTTGGAGTGGTAGAGCTAGGTGACTATCAGATGGTCAATATCATTGAGTCCGAGACACTGAACTATCTGCGTCAAGGGCCAATTGGTAGAGAACTAAGTAATTGTATTAGAGGATTGCTTGACACGAATACTATAGGTAATAACTCCTCACTGCTGGGTACAATTTCATGCAGGGGATCACATTCTTGTCCTTCTCTACAAACCACCACTAACGTTTCACATAGTCTCTGCAGCTATTGTTTCACCAGTCCAGAGGTCGTTGAGTATCACAGCTCAAGAGACTGGTACGCTACCTTTATATCAAACTCAAATATAGGGTTACTAACTGAGAAGATCAGATTGTCTGAAAGCATTACACCGAGCAGCCGGGGATTATGAAAGCCAGCGTATTGGAATTGACAAAGCAACTCCTGGGACTTGTCAGTGGATTGTGGACCATGAAAATTTTCAGAAATGGGTGTCTGATGACTTCCCTAGTCTGCTCTGGATCACTGCAAATCCGGGTTGTGGGAAAACTGTGCTGTCAAGCTGGTTAGTCGATCATCTGGCTGCAAAAGGACACCCTGTTATATCGTTTTTCTTCAAAGCCGGCCAGTCAGACCGCGAAACTTCACACCAAGCAATATGTGGACTTCTGCACCAGATCTGTATCAACGACAGAGAAGCAGCCCAACTCGTGGTCAGTGGATTTTCTGTTCGGGATGAGTCTTCTTTTACGAAAGCTGTCGAGAAGCGGTGGGACGATCTATGCGCAATTTCTAGGAGTAGTCGAAGGATTTGTATCATTGACGCCCTTGATGAATGCTCGGACTTATCGCGAAATCAGCTTATAGACTGTTTTCTAAAGAAGTTCTCGCGATCTGGGCTATCGAAGGACGATCAAATCAAGGTCCTTGTCACAAGCCGTCCTTTGCCGGACATCGAGGAACGATTCTCTTCTCTTCGTACCATACGACTCCGGGGAGAAGATGAATCTGCTAAAACAATAGAGGACATTGAACGAGTGATCCATGATAAGGTGGAGAACTTACGCCAGTCCTCGATATTATCCTCGGACGCTTGCACTCTAGTAGAGTCGACGCTCCTGGAGCACGCAGATTCTACCTTTCTATGGGTGTCCCTGGTATTGGAGAGTATTTCTCGCTTGCACTCGCGAAAATTAAGTGCCATCAAAGCTGCCCTTGAGATACTTCCAAGTGACCTAGACAAGCTATACGAGAAGGCCCTCGAAGGCCTAGATCACCCCGAGCAATCATGGAAACTTCTACAGATACTGCTTGCGGCACCAACACCACTTTCTCTTCGCGGTATTGACATTGCCCTCAACATAAATTCAAGTGTGAAGAGCATAAGCGATCTTAAAAACGAGCTGGAACCCAATGCTGAGTATACCATCAAAAAGTTGGGACGTTTTTTTGTTCGTATAGCCAAGGGATCTGTATTCCTTGTTCACGAAACTGCAAGAGAATTTTTACTGAAAACGACATGCACAATCTTAAACCATTGTGAAATTTCCCTTCGTCAGGCTCAGAGTGACACGATCCTAGCGAAGGCCTGCTTGTGGTTCCTCTTACTTCGAGATTGGAAACAAGAGAAGCCCCCTGAGCCTAGCAAAATGAGAGCCCTAGAGATTAGACTCCTTCGGCCATATGACCATGGGATACGGAGCTTCTACTTGTATGCCGTTCGGCAATGGCCTCGTCTTGCACAAAGAGCTCGTCATTGCCCCGGAGATCAGCAAATACTAGGCAGCTTAGCCGCAAGGCTTTGTGATGTGGACTCACCGCAGTTTATCTTTTGGTGGGCCTTCTACGCGGATTACAGTTTCTTCTGGCAGCCGTCGCGCTTCGACCGGTTTGGGGCGTGTATGGGAAAATACTTCACCCACTACGCTGCCAAACGAGGCGATTTGGCCGTTCTAGAAGGGTTGCTTGCAGAATCTTTTGGTGTTTCTGAGAAGAATGCCAACGGTTTAGATGTCTTAACGCTCTCGGTTATATATGGTAGAACCGAGATTGTGGAGAGACTGCTGGCGACATACGACAAGGAACTCATGGATATCGGCACTGCATTGCAGTGTGCGATCGCATACAATCACATTGATCTGATCGAAACTCTTATCCGGACCGGCGTTGATATAAACGCTCGACATCTCAATCTGGTAAGAGATGAGGGCGTACCGGCAAAAGAATTTCCTTTGACAGCAGCACTACCCAAGAAGCTTCATATGGAGGTCCTCTTCCGGTATGGTGCGCGGGTACAGGGAGAAGCTATTGCGAAAGCATCGAGGCGTGGATCTCTTGATGTGCTGCCAATGCTGATTAAACGAGCGAAGCAAAATGATATGGAAGGGCTGGACCGAGGCACATTGGTATCAGCTCTCATGTTGGCAACTGAACAAGGTCACTTGCCTGCGAGAAACTACTTGCTTCAAACATGGCCAGACCTACGGGACAATGCAAACTTGGATGCCGGGTTACAAGCTGCGGCAGAAATGTCTGATCTTGACGCCATTCGTACCTACGAGAAGTTGGGAGCCACGGACAGCACAGGTCGTGGTCTGCAATGGGCAGCGGTGTATGGAAACATCGAGACAGCGGACTTACTGATCGACATATCCTCATATTCCCAAACCCAGCTGGACAGCGCGCTCCAGGGCTTTCTCGACGTGATGGTTCAGACTTGTCTCGAGGTGCGCATCCTGGTTATGACTGAGGAGTTAGACTTGAGCAATCGTCGATTATACACTTTGTTCAATAGTCATCCTCAAACCGACCAAGGGAATAGCACAACCCAGATCCTGGCTAGGTTACTTAAAGAAGGGGCGACACTTCGAGTACCCTTGTTCGACAGGGCAGTGACCTGTTTGATTCCAATGGGAGGCCAACTGGTGTCATTCATGCTGCAGCATAGCCTCGAGTTCTGTCCGCTCGAATCGTGTCATCGAGTCGGGCATCTGGTTCAGGCGTGCCTCTGGGGTCAATCACGACTTGTTCGGCAGATCCTGGCTCAGGGGCCGCTCAATTTGAACCAGAAGGACCATCTCAACATGAGCCCGTTACTGGCTGCAGTCTTTTCTGGAAACGAAGATGTCGTGAGGCTTTTGCTTCAACACGGGGCAGACGTCAATGAGGAGTGTAAGTATGTACGCGACGAACTTGACAATCGAATTAGCTTGCTATATCAAGTCTCTAAACGATCAAGCTATGTGCGTCTAGAAGGGCAATGCTGCGCAAACCGACTTCTATGTCAAGATCTTAAGGGAGATTACCGAAATTCGAAGGAACGACAGTGGGACTCGATATGGTCTAAGATGGAAATGGGGCATACAGAGTCACCCATTTCACTGGCCTCCAAATTGGGTTATAATGAGATCTTGGAGATGCTCAAGTCGCCTTCCGACGACCTCGGCGGAGACGGGCAAAGCGCAACCATTGTCGAGATAAAACGCACACCAGTAGATGGGAACTGAGTGGAATTCTCGAAAGATGTAGATCAAACTCGACAAGCAAACAAAACAATCATCTGCGAAGAATTCCAAATCCCAAGCCTCAGCAGATTAATAAACAGTAATCATGTTTTAGTTCAGCCACCTCTTTGGCTGTGGCATATTTGGCGTTAGCTTTACATTGATACGAAAGAAGCCTTAAATTTGAGCAATTCGAAAGAACACAGCCTTCTGATATATCATACTTGCTAGTGCCTTCCAACATGTGATTCATAATACATATTTCGCCTGAATAGTAAAGTGTCAAACGGTCGGGTATGTGTATGTACCTGCAGGACTGCGGTGGGCGGGCAGGGTAGGTTTTAGCCGCAGTGGTCGGGATCGCGTCATCGGGGACCCTCCAGGGCTTGACAAATCACGCACGCTTACATCACGGTTTTCTGCCGGCTCCTCTGTGTGCCCGCCCCAATGCTAAGTTGCCGTACCGCCGCCGCCGACGCTACATGCAAGTCGAAGAATCATCCAGTCCTATAAGACTCCCAACTCGCCTCGTCCCCATCTCCACGCTCCCTGTTAGCGACTTTTCTTATCTCCATGTCCAAACGACTGCTACAATTCACACGCGCATCGCTGAACACCAGAGCTATATCACCGCTGAACCATACCTTCGCGAGAAACTTTCATTCGAGCCTGCCCAAAATGACTGTTCACAACATTCAATCGTGAGTCTCCTCCCACTCTTCATCGCGAGCCCCGCGACAACGTGTCAATCGTCTCCAGGGACTTCATCCTCAGCACACAGAAACTAACAATATCTTCAAAACAGGGTCGAGGGCTTCAAGGAGAGCTTGGCCAAGAACGATGTCGTCTTTGTCGACTGGTTCGCAACCTGGTGCGGACCTTGCAAGGCTATTGCCCCCAAGATTTCCCAGTACGTTTCCTCCCTTAGCTCGGCGCAGCGATGATGGCATGTGCTAACAAGCCTTTACGCGCAACGTAGATGGGCCCTTGAAAACCCCTCGATCCACTTCGCTAAGGTTGACGTCGATGACCTGCCCGAGTTGAGCCAGGAGTACGGTATTCGCGCCATGCCCACCTTCATGATCTTCAAAAATGGCGACAAGGTCGACGAGTTTGTCGGCGCGAACCCCGGCCCTCTCCTCCAGCTGATTTCCAAGCACAAGCCTGAGGAGAAGGCTGAGGAGGCTGCTGCGGAGTAAACGACAAACACACCGAATGATGGGGAATGGTGCGCTGGGGCGAAGATTGGAACATAAAAACCTCTCATCCCAATGTGGGATGACTTTGCGTGCAATGACGGACTTCTAGGCTTCGACCGCCTATATTGAGTCTGATACCGAAAATCGGCCCATACCATCCGACGAAACGAGAATTGCTGTCAAGGGTTGCGAATACTTACCTAGCTTTAAGTAGGATAATTGATTCGTTTTATGGTGATATTCCTTCATCTCCTCACCCTGCACATGTAGCATGGAATGTGTTACCGCTGTGTTGACCAACCACCTTGTATCAGAGGCATACAACACGACTCACATTGACATCTCTCATTTTGATAACATTGCATCCTGTGAGGAGTGGCTTCCTCAGCCGAAACCCGAGTTGCCTGGCTGGAAGCGGTAGATTTCTGCAACATGTATGGGTTTGAACTATTTCATTGCGCAAGCGTTACGCTGCGGCTGGTCGCCGGCCCGGACACCTGATATAGGGCCATGGCATATCTCAGTCGGACTGACTTTGACACTGTTTAGTATGTGAAGAGCGGTCTAGCAAGGGAAGGACAGTGAAATGCCAACACTGCCGTCATATGTGAATATCTTCAAATTCATAGCATGGTTGGCATGCGAATGGTACGCGGCTACAGTTTGAGCCCACCATTTGTTTGGCTAGCAAGACTTGATGCTAAATTTAGAGCCATATGCGAAGTTAAGAAGATTTGCATTCACCCTGAGCATTGTCTTTTCCTCTCAAGATTCTGGGTGATATGGTATGGCGCAGCGAATATTGGGTCAATATGATGGCTACCTAGGTGCTGGACAGCTCCCTCACGCAGGACGCCGAACCGGAGCTACCCCGCCCCCACCAAGATACATAGAGCTCCTCTGCGCAAAGGAATACGCATGTCCAATGCAGTCAGCTCAGCCCAGCTCTTCACGGCACGCCTGCTCTTCGAGGCAGTCGTATGCGAGTATCTAGATCGGCGTATGCCTTCAAGGTTCAAACCTGCGCCGGGAGTATGAGTCCATAGCCTGAATAAGCGACTTTTGAAGAAATGCAGTATTTCGCGTGCCAAACAAAGCCTTATCTTGAGAAATGCGCTCGTACGAGTCGAGGACGTTTTGTGGTGTCATGCAAGATGCCTCTGCTAATGAGTTAGTTATCGCACGCCGTTACTTGCCGCTCGCTCGGCATAGTTAGAGCAAGTGGATAAGGGCTGCACTCCGTACAGCACTGCTGGGTGGTATAAGTTTAGCTCTGGCCCACCATCACCAATGACTCAACTGCTCTGCCTCATCGCTGAGTGAAGCTATCTTGAAGCTTCTTGTACGATAGATAATTCATCATGGCCAAAATTGTCGTGCTCGGGTAAGTGGGAAGTTGTCCATTGACGACTAATTGGCGAACTGACAAGCCGATCTAGTGCCGGCGTGTCTGGCCTGACTTGCGCCCTTCAACTGGCAAAGCGCAAAGAGAACACCGTGACAGTGGTTGCAAAGCACATGCCGGGTGACTATGACATTGAGTATACTTCGCCATGGGCTGGTGCAAATGTCTTGCCGTAAGAGAATCTCGCAAGACTCAGAGCGCAACGCCGGACTGATAGGTGCGATAGGATGGCAACAAAGGAGAACAGCCGATGGGAACGCCAAACTTGGCCGGAGCTGAAGCGACTAGCTACTGAAGTTCCCGAGGCGGGAATCCACCTTCAAAGTATGCTTGACTTGTCTGAACATCACGAAATGCGATCAATTGACTTACATGGGGTACAGAGGCTGTCGTTCTTCGCCGGAAAAAGGACATGGATGTAAGTCACTGATTTCACCGGTTCACGGAACGGAGTCTGATATGATGTCTGGTTTAGGTCGACAATCCGAGGCAGAACCAATTATCAGACAGCCTGTTTCTTAAAAACCCATGGTATAGCACTATGTTCGATGACTACCGGGTACTCAAGGACGAGGAGCTCCCCGAGGACATGGCTTACGGATGCGAGTTCGGTTCAGTCTGTATCAACACTGCGATTTACCTTCAATGGCTTGTTGGGCAGTGCTTGAAGCATGGCGTCGTTCTTAAAAGAGCAGTTTTAAAACACATCTCCGAGGCTTCCAGCTTGAGCCATGCTGGTGGCAAGGCAGACATAGTCATCAATGCTTGCGGTCTTCTGGCTTGCAGACTTGGCGGTGTGATGGATTCGACTGTCAAGCCTGCTCGTGGGCAGATCATCCTCGTCCGTAACGAATTATCCCCTATGTATGCCATGTCGAGTTCAGACGATGGCCCGGAGGAGATCTTCTACACAATGATGCGTGCGGGAGGAGGCGGCACTATTCTGGGTGGCACATATGCTGTGGGCAATTGGGAGGCCAATCCCGATCCGAACATCGCCAACCGAATCATGAAGCGTGTGCTTGATTACCACCCTCAGATGAAAGGTAAGGGAGTTGAGTCCCTAGATATCATCCGACACGGTGTAGGTTTGAGGCCGTACCGCACAGGTGGAGTTAGAATTGAGAAGGAAAAGATTGATGGAACCTGGATCGTCCATAATTACGGCCATGCTGGCTGGGGATATCAAGGCTCTTATGGCTGTGCTGAAGGTGTCCTGGAGCTGGTAGATGATATACTAGGAAAGAAGAGTGCCACTGCAAAACTATGAAGCAGTGCCGAGGCTGCATGGTTTGCAGTAATAAAGTTTCATGAACAAGTCAACAAATAACCTCGTACTTGCTGATGTGACATGGAGCTGTTGTTGATTGAGGATTGAGTATTCGATGCTTGATTTGGTTCTTGAGCAAACGACCAGGTCCGTGCACTGCTTCTAAGACACGTCGCAAACCCCATCACGCGTTCTACAGAACCTCAATCTCTCCAAACGAGCACCATGGCCGACAAAGGCACGAACATCTTGGGACAAGCTGTCAGGCTCGTTCTAGACATTGCCAATGGACGCCATGTACTTGGCAGGGCCATACCACCGGTTTTGCTGGTGCTTGATGCCATTCTCTGTTCTTTGGTCATCTGGAAAGTGCCCTGTAAGCCGCACACTCTTCCTGTTGCTAATAGCGAGTACTGACTAGATTTGAAGACACAGAAATCGATTGGGTGACATACATGGAGCACATCTCTCTATATGTGTCCGGCGAGCGCGACTACACAAAGTTCGAAGGCGGAACAGGCCCCCTCGTCTACCCGGCTGCCCATGTGTACATCTACAATGGACTCTATCACCTTACCAATGAGGGCAAAGACATCTTCCTGGCCCAGCAGCTGTTTGCCGGTTTATATCTACTCACGTTGGCGGTTGTTATGGCATGCTACTGGAAGGCACAGGTACAGCAGGTCGGTTGAGATTCTGTTATATAGCTAACGATTTCTCGATGTAGGCACCTCCGTATGTCTTCCCCCTGCTAATTCTCTCAAAACGATTGCATAGCATTTTCGTCCTGCGATTATTTAACGATTGCTTTGCCGTTCTGTTCCTCTGGATTTCGATATCCCTCCTTCAGCGCCGTTCATGGACATTGGGCACATTGGTGTATACCTGGGGATTGGGGGTCAAGATGATACTGCTCCTGGTTCTGCCTGCTGTTGGGATTGTGCTATTCCTAGGTCGAGGATTTGTCCCGGCCTTACGACTTGCTTCCCTGATCGGGCAGTCACAGGTTGCAATCGCCATCCCATTCCTCAAGACGAACCCCTGGGGCTACTTGAGCAGGGCGTTCGAGTTCTCACGACAGTTCTTCTACAAGTGGACAGTCAATTGGAGATTTGTGAGCGAAGAGGTGTTCCTGAGCGAGCCATTCTCTATTTCGCTCCTCGTTCTACATGTCTCTGTCCTGATGGGCTTCATCACGACCAGATGGTTGAAGCCAACCGGCAAGTCTCTTAGTGAGATCGTCACCGCCGTCCTAAATCGAAAGATGCCGTTCACAGACCAAGAGGAACGAGTCATCTCTCTGTCCACCGGCCCCCGATACATCCTGACTACAATCCTCACGGCGAATGTCATCGGCATGCTGTTCGCGCGATCTCTCCATTATCAATTCTATGCCTACTTGGCATGGGCGACCCCATTCCTCTTATGGCGGAGCGGTGTCCATCCAGTCTTGCAGTACCTGCTCTGGGGACTCCAAGAATGGGCATGGAATGTCTATCCTAGCACACCCCTGAGCTCAGGCGTTGTGGTTGGAGTTATGGCGGCGACCGTCGGCCTGGTATGGCTGGGTGCGAAGGAAGAGCCCAGCAGATACCTCCAGTCTGCGAAAGCTGACACGACTCGGCGGTGAAGTGGGCAGTGGGAACTCTAGTTGGTAGAAAATTCCGACGAGATCACTCACTCCTCGTCTGAATCCGTTGGAGGTAGCTTGCCAACGTTTGACTCCTCGTCACCCTCATCGTCGTCGTAAGTCTTCTTTGCAAATTCCTTTGGCCTGTGTTTCGGTGTTAGTATCTTACTGAGCCATTGACCTTGTGTAGCCAACCAACAGATGATTTCGAAATTCCACGAACCAGTACTTCTCTTTGCGCCACTCCCTCTCGTCCCGAACGACGTTGATGATCTCCCCGAGCACTCTGCTATTCTTGCGCTCCTCGGACTGCGATGCCTCGACGAGAACGTACCCTCCCCTCTTGATCCATATCGTGTTTCGAAAGCGGTCGGCAAGTTCCACTAGCACTGTCTTCTTGGAAGGAAGTTCGCAGGTGTAGAGGCTATTCCCCTCTGCCTTCACCACTCGGGCGATCGATTGCGTCGGTGTGAGCTCGTCTGGAGGGGTTGTTGACTCCTCCGCCGCGGCGAGGATATTGCGCTTGGGGCGTCCCATATTCTGTGCTGGTAGATCACGGGGAGAATATAAAAAAGTAGGCTATCAATGCCTGTTGATATGTACAGGCCAAATGGCTTAGCCTCTGAGGGTTGTGATCGTCAGAAATATTTTGGACTACCCCAAATTGTGACTTCTCCACCAAGCTGCATGAAAGCAGCCCTGCACCTTTTGGTAGTGGGGTTGACACACCCAATTGACAGCTTAGTCCCACTAGCCAACAGGTAATGCATAGTAGCGTTCGACAAAATCCACAACTTGCTTGACAACACTTCAGTTTAGTTTAGCTAGGTAAGCAATCTGGTGTATATGTTCACATCCACTTGTCAATAAGCTAGAGGTTTGCAGGAAGTCTGCGACTTAAGTAAGCATACAATACTCAATTGACACAGAGCCTAGCAATAAGTTCTATGATGTTATACCGTTTCTTCTTCAACATAGTCCAGCTTAAGCCAGAAATAAAACATTAAGTATTGCAAGTGCTCTATTTATATTTACGGGGCACAAGAGAATACAAAGTCCGTCACCAACGGCACATCTACATAACCCTAGGCGACTAGAAGCAAAAACATCGCGCGAAAAATCGACGCTCATACCATAATTAAGTCGACATTAGACTCAGCGGGCTTTGATTCCATCAGACTCAGGTGGTCCATGATACACTACATGTGAAATTTGTTAGCTGGCTGTATATAAAAGTGATACTCAATCACATCGAGGAAGGAGAGCGGAATAACGCACCTTTGTGAGCATACACAATATAGTAGACCGCACTGAAAAGCATGAATCCTGCGAACACAACAATGGCGTAGTTCATTGTAACCTCATCGACTGGAAGAACGCTTGGCATAGAGAATAGGACGACCTCGAAGGCAATCCAAACGACGGCAATAATGTTGACAATCCAGCCAATCAGGTTGCCCATGCTCCAGGGTGCTTCGTTGACGTCCTTGCGGCGGTAGATCATTGATATAGTAATGGGAATAGCGTAAGACACTGCCAGGGCAATGACACCAACCGAGACGAAGGCCAGGAAAGCCGAGCTCGAGCCAAGGTAAATCAGCCCTAGAAGCATCTGTACCACTGTGGTGAGAACAAGGGCCCAGATGGGAGCTCCATGCGTCTCATCGACTTTAGACCAGATTCGAGATAGCGGAATGGCCTTGTCCCTTGCAAATGCCCAAGTGCACCGTGAGGCTGCCACAGTAATGGAGATGGAGCAGAACAACGTGATCAACAGGATGAGGAATGTCAGAGCAAGGCCGCCGCCCGGAGTTCCCATAACTACGCCGTAGATATAGGGGAGTGCTTGTCCTTGGGGGGCTAGAATAATGTCTGCCAATGGCGGCATGGTGGCACAAATAGGAATGATCTAGCATCAATATCAGCTCCAGTCCTTTGAGTCAATCGCTTGGGATTCTCACGAAAAACAGTCCAGCAATTCCTCCAACAGGCACACACAATGAGATAGCTTTCGGTAGTTTCGTGGTGGGATGATCACACTCTTCAGCCATTGAAGAAATCATGCCAATGGCGGAAAAGCTGATATCATGGTTAGTGATGGCTCACAAGTAATGCACTGTGAAGACCTTACGTATAAGCCGATGGCAAAATACCAATGAAGAAGGAAAAGCCATCCCACCCGGAAAGACTTTTATCATATTGTCCCTGGAAATCTATCATCAGCGTTTAACTCTTGACAACGATCCATCGAATACAGCAGGGGTGATGTGCATACCAGGGTCACGCTAGGCGAGTTTCTCCCGGCCTTTGCTTTGACTGATAGGCATATCAGAGTGACGAAAATGGCGATCAAAGTAAAAACCGCGCAGAATGTATCGACCATTGGGAGAATTTTGTTGCCATATGTGCAAATGACGAAAGTAATAAGGCAGAGTGCGTAGAAAACCAGGAGAAGTTGCCAGTCAGTAAATGTAAAATCCGGATGGTACAACGCAACACAGCCGGCGATGAGAGAGGCAAACCCGAAGTTGACTGAGAGGGTAATAGTCCAGTTTCCAACGAGCCAAGTCCAACCGGTGACGAAGGAGAGGACGGTGCGAAACTTTTTGTTTGCAAGCTGGAAAGACCAATAATATGGACCCGCAGAGGTTGGAAATCGAGAGGCCAATTCGCCAAGGGAGATCGCAACACACTCGTCCACGATAAGCACCATAATCCAGCCAACGAACATAGGCAATTGACCTTAAAAGGACTTGTTAGTCTCAGAATTCCAAACCATGTTATTTCGAATATTCACCTCCGCCATAAATCGCACTGATAAGTGGGCCACCAAAGCCATAGGGGATCTAATTCGTTGTCAGCACATAACCAGCGCAGTATATGCTGCACTTCATTGACTTACAGCAGCTATAGCAAGAGACTGGAATAACAAGGTAAACATAGACCTGTTACGATGAAATTCGGCCTCGTAGCCAAGGACGTGCAAGACCTCCGTATCCTCCCTATCCGAGATTCCTCCATCCTCGCCGCCGCTCGGAGGCGAGGGCCCAGCAACTTCCGTCTTCTCAATTGAGCTCATCTCGGCCGGCACGGAAACGGCACCAAAGGGCGACAAGGATTGCCGATTAGTATATGTGGCGGGCAATCAGCACGAGCCAACAGAGATTCGACAAGACGCGACAAGACACAAGCTCGCGAACGAAGGAGCTTGTTTCTTGCTGGCCAAGCTGCCAAGTTGAAGCTAATATACCTCGACCCAGCTCGAACCTTGATAATGAACTCCTCTCAGCCCGTTTCAGGATCGCCCTCCACGACCAGTGGGGCCGTTCGACGATATCGTCGTGTGGTTATGATACGTCGCGGACAGCATGGAACTAAACCCGATAGGGACATAAAGTCCCGGCCAATCTGCAGTTGGAACTGCACGAAGGTGCATTGTGTCCTATCTCTTCACCCAAAGCAGCGAATGTCTTATCTTTACTCATTCTATCAGCCCTGTACCGAGGCAGATCCCCCCAGCCACCCTGCCCACCTTCCCGTGGGACTTGTCCAGGAAAGGAGAAGATGTCGTCCACCAGGGTTACGCATTGTTGTTACGTCGTTGTTCCTGCATTGCCGCTTGCTATGCCGCTCCTTGCAGGGAACTTATAATGACGAGAGTCGTCCATATCTTAGAACTAAGACAGAAGGCTGAATTTTGTTATCATTGTTATCTGAAGAGTTGTCAAAATGAAGTCTGCTGTTGAGAAGGCGTGGGAGGAGTGCGACAAAGTAGACACACTTTTCGTGATTGTCTGTACATGTATTTGCTGGACCATTGTCCCGACGGTGAGTCGCACAACTTCAAGCCATCGATCCTTCCATAGTCCGTGGATGCCGAGGCTGACCACTATTCGTAGGTTGGTATCGCGTACGGGGGCTACTCGTGGCGCCGCAATGGACTCGCATCTGCGATACCAGCAATGCTGGTCATCATGACTTGTAGCATCCAATGGTGGATTCTAGGCTACACCTTGACTTACGGAGAGGGTGGTATGGTGTTTGGTGATTTCAATTACCTTTTCCACAAAGGTGTATTGTCCGAGCCAATTGGCACGATTCCCGCAATCCTCTTTAGCGAGTTCCAGCTTGTTTTTGAAGCTACTGTTTGTGCTATTGCAATTGGCGGTATCTGCGAGAGAGGTCGTCTTCTACCAGCTATCCCGTTCATTTTTGTAGGTTCACTCGTGTCTGAGCTTGAAAGGCAGGTTGTACTGACTATGGCGAAGCTGTGGTCCACGCTCATTTACGATCCATTGGCGCACATGGTGTGGGGTGGTGGCTTCCTCGGTGAGAAGCTTGGAGTTTTGGATTTCGCAGGAGGTAAGCTTATCAGAGAATCATTGGCTGGGGGACGCAAGAGCTGAGAAAATGAACAGGAACTCCGGTGCATGTCTGCTCAGGAGCTACAGCCATGGCTCTGAGCATCTATATGTCCTATCCCATCTTCCGATCACGTCAATCCGAGCATAGAACGCCGACGCATATTCGTCTTCACAGACCCGGAAATTCCTTCTTCCAACTCATATCCTTGATCATCATCTGGGGATCCTGGCTCGCCTTTGACGCTGGTACTGCCTTGACATTAAATTTCCAGGCGGTGATGGCACTTTGCGTGACGAACCTGTGTGCTTCGGCGGGGGCTCTTACATGGGCTTGCATGACGTACTTCGAAACTGGCAAATGGTCAATAGACTCGATCTTCATGGGCGCTATTGCAGGACTGGTCATGATTACGCCAGCCGCCGGCTTCATCGACTTGTCAACTTCATTCTTCTTCGGGGTGATTGGTGCTGTCGTTTGTCGTCAAGCGCTTCGAATCAAATTCACTGACTGGGCACGGAGGTGGCGATGGGTTGATAATGGAGATACTTTTGCTACACATTGTGTTGGAGGAGTTACCGCAACCATATGCACTGGTTTATTTGCAAAGAAAGAGGTGGCTGCGTACGGAGGACTGGAAATCGATGGTGGAGTATTCTTTGATGGAAATGTTCGACAACTAGGAGTCCAGATTGCCGAAGCAATCATCGGCTTCCTATGGGCTTTTATTGGCTCCTTCGTAATTATTGCACTCATCGACTGCATTCCTGGCCTGGAAGTCCTGGCCGTCGACCAGTGAGTATAATGTTCTCAGCTTGCTCGCGCCATCCTGCTGACATATCGATAACAGGGAAATTGTTGCGGGACTGGATATGAATCAAACCGAAGAAACGCTTGGGGATCTGTTGCACCCTGAGGAGGAGGACTACACGCCAATGGACAAAGGAAATCTCGAACTGTAAATCAGCACGATGAAAAATAGCATGGATATTTGTAAAAGGTCGGCATATTGTATAAAATGAAACTATCTCTTTCTTCATAGATAGTATAGGAAATTTGAACAAGAATATTGTATACCTGATTCCAGAATACCCAATATCGCTTTTCACACTCCATACCCTCCGGAAGCAAGCTGTCCATCCCAGATATACCTGTTCCAAAACCTGAAGGTCCTTAACGCGCTCGCTAATCATGCCGATCTTGCCGACCTATAAAACAAGAGAAAAATACATTCAGCCAAAGAGACTATGAAGCCCCGTGGCTGCCATAACATCCAACCAGTGTGTCCTAGGAGAGCTCATTGTCTCCGTATCATACGCATGCCAGACTGCCTTTAGTAACTGTTTCGCTACAACTATGGGCCTAGGGGGTAGACACTCCTCAAGACGGTTCAGTCTTTCCGTGACGGAATGCCGTGCACGTGAGATCTCAAAATCATTCTGTGTGAGAACTGGCTGTGACTGGATTTGCGAGATGGCGTCGGAATTGAAATCAAAAGACCAGACCCCGGAACTCATAGGATCGAGGCCGAGTGGGAAAGGTTCGGCAAAGTCCTCTGATGATCCGTCCAAATCGATCGAAAAATGGGGTATATTCTCGTATCTCAAACCACTTCCTGCGCAGATGGCAAGCAGCGGCTGGACACATCGCATATCCGAGGTGGGTGGAATGCCCTCGAGTATGTGAGTAATGTGAAGCGCAAGCGAGGAACACCATCCATTCTGCTGAGCAATATAGTTCGGACTACCCTGGCTCTCCGGCGGAAGTCGTTTGGACAAGATCTCCGGAAATGTCTGATATAGCTGGAGAAGTGACGATAGGCGATAAGCTTCAGCAGCGTCGCGTAGGTGTTGTCGAAGTTCGGCATGTTGATCGCTCACCCCTTGCGAAGGTGGCAGAGGGGGTATTTCTGTTGCTAGAAGAATCTCTTCCACATCTCGTGCTTCCTCGTAGTCGGCATCAGTATTCCCCAAGCCTACGCCAGTAACTTGATTGCCTAAACGCCATCTATTCCTTGATCTTCTACACAACACCATGACTTTGCCGAATAACCTCAACAGGTCAGGGGAGACACCAGTCCAGGCGTGCGGTCGAACGGAGACTCGATGCGGCGAAATCTGCCGAACTAGAAGATTGCTCATGTCAGATTCATCGCTGCTGACGACACTCCTCACCATCTCCTCGTATATTAAACACCCATTGAAAAAGTCAAGCAGTTCTCTTTCCTCGATTGTGAGCATCGCAGACTTCCTATTGAGTAAGCCAAGGACAGAACGTGCTTGTTTCAGGAATTGCAGCCCCAACTGTCTTGTGTCTACCCATGCTAGAGATTGGCTCATGCAGAACAAGGAGAGAATAAGCCCGCTGGGAAATACTGTTCGGCTGTTCGACTCGAGACGAAACGCTTTCAATTCACTAGTTATGGCCTTGAAGGCTGCTTGCGGTGCCGAAATAGCTACTTTTCGAACATGAGGAAGATGTTCGATCAGTGACGCAGCCGCCATACTTTGAAGTGCGTAAAAGACCGACATTGATGAACCCCATAGCGAGGCGCTGAGTACTCGATACGGGTTCGAGTCTGAGTCGAAAGCTGACCATGCATGACACACTGATTTGAACCAGTGCTCGATCAGGAACGAGGGCATATCGACGAGAGGCTGGGTGGGAGCGGGGATCGGCATGTTTTCATTGGGCTTCATGAGTGACTGCCCAGGCACAGGTGGCCAGTGTGAAAGAGGATCCTGCTGCTCTGGTTCTGCTGGTAGACTGCCTACTGACTGGCTGCTGTTGGCCCATGTTTCGAGCGGTTCGACGAGGGTGCTCTGTGGAGGTGTGAGAAGGCCGGTCAAGTTGAAGGGGTAAACGGTTGGTGAGAATCTTGGTACCAGAAGTTCCTGGGATATGCTTCTAGGATCTATATCCGTAGACAAATTTAGACTGCCAGTGGGACTTGGATCTCGTTGAAAGTCATCTACAAGAAGACTTTGTGGGTCCGAATACAACTCAGGAACTGACGGCGTAGGCGTGACGTTCTTTACTGTGACAGGGACTGGAGACTGCTTCTTAGGAGCAGGCTTAGGCTCTGACCGTTGGATAGATTGCGAGGCTGCAGACGCAAGCTGTCCGAAATCAAGAGGCTCCGCCGTGGTTAGCTTCTGTGCACGCTCATACTTGGTTGACCACTGGAGTTGTTGCTGATAACCGGGACATGCGCGGCCCTTCTTGACACAGTTGAGACACTGCGGCTTCGTCTCATCGCATTTGAGCTGGCGGTATCATGGTCAGTCTTCACTATATCTGACTCAGCCGAGGAAGGGTTGGCATTACCCGCTTATCTTTGCATGCCCGACATCCGGACCGCGACTTCTGCTTCCTCTTGATCGGTCCCATACCAGCGCTAGTATCGCCTTGCTTATTAGAAGCTGGTAAGGACATTGCTACATGGGCTAGACGTCCGTAAAGAGCGGCCCTTGGATGGCCTACTGAGTATGATGTTCAGTTGAGGTTGCGTGTGGAGGTTGAATCTCTTATCAACTGAGGCTGATAACCGGGCATCCGTTTCGTTGTGATTCGTCCGGCGAAACCCGGCCCTCGCACCAAGAGTGGGCGGGGAAATAGTTGAGTTGTTACGCGTTGGAACGCCACCATAAAGTCGAATGTTCCACAAGCGTATTTTCCATTGCTAGAATCGTATCAACACCGTTAATTCTAAGCTGCGTAGGGCTGCATGCATATTGAGATTTGCCAACGACACTATTGCTGCAATTCTTAAAGGCAGTCCTCCGAGCTGTGAGTTTGCCCACGAACTAAGGTGATATTTGGGTGCAAGCTCTGGGACGCTAAATAGCCGTTAGCCTTCTGAGAGACTTATACATCAATTACTGTCAGAGAAACTACAAGAGTGGAGTAAGGTGTATCTTGGGGCGTTTTCTTGGCGCTATTCAAGCTATAATACAAAGTCACAGGGGCGCTCAATCTATGTCTTGGTTCTAAGCAGTAGCATCTCCTTATTAGCTTCAATCGTTCAGAATAAAAGTCCAACCACTGATTCACGTATTAAATAAAACTTGTAGTATTTAGCTAGATTTCCATCATTATATTAGTGAGTATCGTTGTAAAATAGGTAAGCACCCTTTTTTTATTCCTGCCGCAAAGATTATGGAAGCTGACGAAAATGGTGGCATAGCGGCTATCAAGATCTCTGGTCTTGCTACATACTTCCTCGAGCTACCAAAAATCGCATAAGATATCTTGGACAAAGAGATCTACGAAACCTGTTGCTTGGCTCAGGGTATGCACGAGTTACTGTAAAAGCAATTACAATAAGAAGCCCGCGTAGAAGTTTGTATCGTATGAGACCAAAAATTAGAAAGCAGTCTTACGCCTCGATTATCATCTCCGGTTGTGGACAGACAGTTTGCTGTGAAGGAGAGACTGAAGGGTAGCCTAAGCGTAGAAATAGGCCTTTTGGACAGAGACAATATAAGATCACCTCACCAAAGAAACGAAATGAGACGGAAATGTTGTCTGAAGACCTAGTTCATGCGTATGCCAGGCAGCTACTCCCAAGTCACGTTCTGAGGGACTCGAAAAGAAAATGCGCCATTGAAATATATTGATGTTTTAGCCACAATGGGGCCGAAAAAGGCAAGCCTCCCTGGGGGCCTGTCAATACGCCAAAACAAGATGACACACATTGTTACAAGGTATATTATTATGCCATTGTCGATCGCTTTTATTTAACTATCGATCTTTCAAATGCCTTCTGACAGTTTAAATGCAATATTCTTCGCGTGTTCATTCACGAACATAGGTACTAGGTCCGCAACCGTGTACCACCGGGGCTTCGGCATGCCATCGTGCACATATTCTCCGCCAATTTTCAGATTCTCGAACGTGATATGCTCGACCTTTCTCTCTGCATCGAACCCAAGTATTTGTGAAGGATATACTATTACAGAGTTGTCTGTGTCGAGGGTAACGTTTTTGATTGTGACATTCCGAACTCCCCGGCCTGGCGCTGTGGTCCACATAGGATTTTGCATGACCCGGATGTTGACGAGTTGCCCTTTGGATATCTTCTCGACCCTAACATCTTCCACCAGTACATCCTCAATCAGGTTTTCATCACCTGCATTGATAGATACACATCCTTGATACCATGTCTGATTCTCGTAGTGGTCCAGGATGTCAAGGTTGCTGATGCGGATATTGGTGAAGGTTTCTGGCTTGGCTGGGTTTCCATGTGTGCCCATATGGATAGGATGTGCAATGTCCGGTAGGAGAGTGCAATTTCTGACAGTTATGTTCTTCGTATCGCCATAGTAATCCCAGCGATGTCCATAAATTGCAACGGTATCGTCGGAGTTCCTTAGGAAGCAGTTCTCGACAAGGACGTCCTGGGAGCAGAAAAAGTCGACACCGTCACCGTTCCCGTGAGATGAAAAAGACCTATACCCATCAATATGAACCCCCTTTGCCTTTCCTGTGGTCAGACTGAAGCCTGTTGCTCCAAGGGAGGTCACTTTCTCGACAAAGATGTTATTTGATCTCTCGATAAGGATGGCACCGCCGTTCGGACCTTTGTATATGAACCCATGGCCTCGAACACCGGAGTTGGAGACATCGATGAAGTTCAACTTGGCTGTGATAAACGCTCCACTATCCAAATACACGGTTGTATCTGAGGGGACCATCAGGTTTCCATCGACAACTTTCTTATACGCTGACCCGTTGTTAACACCTGGGCCGAAATACCAGACATTATCAGAATCCTCCTTTGGTGCGTTCACATCGATATCATCAGTGAGAACGTGTAATGCTTGCCATTTGTCATTGTTGATCTCAAGCATAACATCGTGCGGGTGATCAAGTCTGAAGGTAATGGTGTTGTCCTTTTCGATAGTGGCCTTTATTCCAAGAGACAAAGGTCGGATAGTGGCGACAGTCACTTCTCCACCTCTATACTGGGCTTTGATCTCGATAGGACTCTGTTCAATGTCTAGCGATGCAACAGCAATGGGATGCTTATTGAACTGATTGCAAGTGATGTTGACATCTGCTACATCAACGGCGTATGCTGGTACGGGAGCCCAAACTCCCGCTGCTCCATCCTGTTTCACGATGCGAGCCTTCACAACAAATGTATCGTTTGCATCGATGCCTTCCGGGACTTGATATGTTTGGATTCCGGTTGTACTAGCCATCTTAAGGAGGGCAGCTTCAGCAACTTTAGTTAGAGGTCTGGCTAGTATTAGTCAATGAAGATTTTGTCGATCAGTTGCAAAATACCTCACTGTGGTTTAATGTCGGTGATGTATGGTCTTGATGTCTTAATTAAGAAAGAGTTGTAATGGTAATTGAATTATAGTTGATGTTGGTCTACGGAAGGCGGACCGGCACTTAGGCCGTGAAGCTATTATAGCTCCATATCGAGATCAAACCCCCCATCTCATTAACACCCCAGTTTTCTGTCTTGGTCTGCAGCCACATTATGAGCACGATGCGTATTTACTCGAGGTTTATAGCCGCTCCTATCACAGGTTGCACCTAGCTATGCCAAGCATGAGGTTTTGACAACTATGGTTAAGCACTTTGATATTCGCCTTTTTGAATTGCAGCCGTGGTGCTATAGCCCAATGCTTTGGCTGATACCATGACCATTCTCGAATCATGGTCGAAAATCTCTTCTTTCAAGAACCTTTAAATGTGCTTCTTGATATCTCCTTTCTCCAGGGCCTGCAATTTGGCAAATGCTTTCCCAGTCTCCTTGGCGCTCTGCCAGATCAGCAACAGAGGAATGACGATCCAGAAGGCGTTGCAAAGGAGGTAATATGCGAAGAAATAGAAAGTCTCGGGTCGGCAGTAACTTGTGAACTTCACCCAGTTGTCAAAGGTACAGGTGGCGTAGTAGAGGATGTCACCGTAGAGCTGGCCGAGGCTGATGATTATCTGCAGTGGGTGGCGGAGGGGGTGGTTGGTCGCGATGAAGTAAGTGCAGACGAAGGAGAGTGGCCCCCAGAACGCCGCAGTAATGGTCTCCATGCAGGTCACGAAAGAGTCTTGGGTAAGGTAGCGGGAGTCGGATAGTGAGTACTCTCTCCAGAGTTGACCGAAGATATGTGTTCGGCTGCCCATGTGGTGGAAGTTATAGGCAAAGTAACCTGGCAAATATGAGCATATCGACGTATCAACACTGTCAATACGTATTGACGAGAAGTGAAAATCGAGTCAGGTTATGAATTACACGGACCTTCGAAGAAGAGATGAATGCATCCGCACATTCCGAACCACAAGGAGGTTGCCAGATCGGACCTCGTGATGTTGGGCCGGGTTCTTGTCACCAGCACATAGGTGGCGGCCCAGATCACAGCAATGCCGCTGAAGAAGGACGATAGAAGCATTGGCAAAGGGAGGGAATTTGCAACATATCCTGGGATCTCAACGCCAGCAGGGAAATAAGGATGAGAAGTCATGTTGACGATAGCCTGGAGTCCGGCTTCGCTGGGAGTAACCACGGAGATGGATTTGGGAGACATGTTGGAGATCTCGAAAGGCTGATGACAAACGTTAGGTTATTGAACACTGTGTCTCAACAAGATAGAGCGCCACGACGATTTATATTGCTTTTGAACTGGGTGCCTGGGATTGGCAGGAAGAGTACCAACCCCTTTCACTCAACAACGAGGAGATATGTTAGCGGCTCAAGTATTTGACGTAAATTCCAAGCCCTCAGCAATTACTGGTCACTAAAGATATTATTTAATTGGTCGTCTCCTTCTCTGAACGATGTTGGACGCATCTTAGGAAGGCAGATCCGGGGCTTTCGTAGATACCGTCTGGCCAATAGTAGAGCCTATCATTCCCGAAGCGGCTAGGCGATTGGAGATGGGATGATTTTCAGTGTCCGGAAATCCAGGGAGCCGGCGCCAAGAACGGATGCCATTCTGTAGTGCACGTACGACAACGACAACGGACTTTGAATTCAGATCCCGAGCCCGAAGGATCTCATGTGCCGCAAAGTCGTTGGTCTTGTATATAATAGGCAAAGACCAGGCACAATTCTAGCATTATGCAGGCTTTAATCATAGTGGCCGGGTTTCACCTATCTACACGTAGATATGCAGCTGTGACAGACAGCCCAAATTTCACACAGTATGGAGATACAGAACTTAGTCGGCAGTGAATTGTCTCGATAGCTATGTCATAGCTGGAAGTAGTCAGATAGAACTACTTACCTATCCATCAATAAGTAAGAAACATTGTTAGTGTGCGTTGATTACGAGTACTGAAGAGAGGATGGGATAATTGTTCCCTCAAGACAGCTGTTCAATATTGCCGGGGCTGAGTACTCGCAGACCCTCTTGCTCGCTGAATGCCCGCTTGGAAATGTAGCCGGTCAGGGACTTAAACGATGTTCGCTTGCCAAATGTGTTCAGAGATGTGAACGAACATAACCTCGTCATCCACAAGCGTGGTCATTCACATATGATCGGTCTTCGAATGCAGATGAATAGTCAACCGGGCCCGTCTCCGGTTGAGTCCTTCGCATCGGCGAGTGACCGGAGTTGATTCAGGGCCGTCCGAGTTCGGTCCAACGAGACTGTTGGGCCTCCCGTTCAAATAGGAGCCTACCCGCCGTAGCCACCGGTCGCCCCGGCACATTAACCGGCCAGCAAAAAGGAGAAATTTTACAGTGCCTGTCCGCTAAAGTAGCGGCCCCGCAGCTATGATGTCGATCGCGACACCGCGAGTTTGGAGGGGTTCAGATGGAGGGGCAGAGTAATCTCTCTGTCAACGGCCCAACAACACTCTTCACTTTTGACAACTCCGATCTCATAGAGCGATTGAAGAGAAGGTTGCGCATTCCGACAATCCGTAAATAGCAACCCGACAGCTCTCCCCTCCTTTCACCGAGCCGACTGCAAACCTCCGTCATGGGGTCCGTATCCCCTGCGACCGCCGCCGCGCTGCCTGCGCTGGCCACGAACCCCAAGTTCATCTTCTTCACCGATTTCGACGGGACGATCACAATCCAAGACAGCAACGACTTCATGACGGATAACCTGGGCTTCGGAGTCGAGCTGCGCAAGAAGGGCAACGCCGACGTGCTGTTCGGACGGCGCGACTTCCGCGACTCGTTCCTCGAGATGATGGAGAGCATCAAGACCCCTTACAACGAGTGCATCCGCCTGCTCCTCCAGAACATTGTCCTCGATTCCGGCTTCAAGGCCTTCTACGCGTGGGCCCGCGCAAACAATGTCCCCATCGTGGTCCTCAGCGGCGGCATGCAGCCCATCATTCGGGCGCTGCTGGGCCATTTGCTCGGCGAGGAGGAGGTGCAGCACCTGCAGATTGTCAGCAACGATGTCGCCCCGCGGGAGGGCAAGAGCATCAATGAGGAGGGCGGTTGGCGCATTCAGTTCCATGATGAGAGGTAAGCGTTTTAAATCCAGACATAGCGTCAGTTGATGGAGAGCTAACAATATATTGCGCCAGCTCCTTCGGTCACGACAAGTCTCTAGAAATCCGAAAATATTCTAGCCTGCCGGATAGCCAGCGACCGGTCCTATTTTATGCTGGCGACGGCGTCTCGGATCTCTCTGCCGCCAAGGAGACAGATATCATGTTCGCGAAGGAGGGACGGGATCTCGTCACTTACTGTGAGAACGAGAATGTCCCATTCACGACATTCAAAGACTTCTCGGACATCCTCAAGGATGTACAAGATGTCGTCTCGGGTAAGGTTAGCGTTAAGGACGTGGCAACTGGGCGTAAGTAAGCATTGGACAGTGGTCTTTTCACAATAGGTAGATATCATATCTGTGGCCGACCTGCATGGGCATGATTTATTTCTCGCATATAGACTTAGATATAGAGGTATAGACGTCGCTATTCATTAGGCATATATAGTAAAGACGATCTAGCATGGCATTCTCCCGATTCCCGATAGCCTCATTATCAGCTTTATCACCTATTATATCCCCAATTACTCCTTCTCGAAGCGCCAAATCATTTCAATTCCAAGCTTTGTTCCGCCGATATCGCAAAAGATGCTACTCGTTCCTCTTCCTGGTGGAGGGAATGCCATACCAGCATACCATCATCACGGCAAACAGAGCGATCGCGATGGGATGAAGGACAAAGGTTCCCACAGCCTGCGCCAGGATACCGGTGGTGAAAGGTGCGGCTGCGCCTCCGCTTGATCCAAAGGCTGAGATCACTCCCATGCCAGACAGTTTCTCGGAGCGGGTCATGGTCCGCATGAATACCGCAGCAGCACAGGGGTAAATAGGACCAAGGAGAAGACCAACAATGGCGAGGGAGATGGCATCTCCGATCACGTTTGGTACCCACCAGACGAGGAGCTCGAAGATGGCGGCGCCAATCACCATGCAGTATACGAAGAGCTTCTCACCAACCTTATGTGCCGGTGCAGAGAGGGCGAAGCGACCAACAGTGATACCCGCCCAGAAACCAGCGGTGACATAACCCACAGTATTGGGATCACCTTTCCTAGCTGCGATGAGGAAGGAGATGACCCAACCCGAAATACTGACCTCGGCACCTTGATAGGCGAAGATGAAGAGTGCACCGAGTAGCACAACACGAGAGGAGAAGGCTGTGAACATTCCGGCCATGCGGGCTTGGTCGTAGGACGCGTCTTGTCTGGCTGCTGCCGGTGTGGGCACGCCGAGTTCTCTATCGTAATGCCAGTACGCCCACGTTGCAAAGATCGTGTTGAGCACTGCTAGACCAAGGGTCAACAGGTAGTAACGGCTCCAGACCGTTCCGCCGAGTGTGACAATGGCCGTAGCAATCAGGGGGCCGATCGTGCCTCCAATGCCATAGCTTCCATGCATGGCGCCGAGGGCGGTTGTCGCACTTTGTAGACTGCCGCAGAACAGATTGCAGTTCGCCAGGTTGACTGACATGCCAAAGCCCACCAAGAAGAAAGAGACCACAATGACCGGGAAGGGTGCAGTGCAGACGACGGGAATGTAGCCGGCTAGCATCAACAACTGTGCAAAGGCCAGAGTCTTGGCTCGCCCCAATCTCTCACGCAAGCTATCGAGGAAGACAGCCGCTGTGATGAAACCGATGGCATTTCCCACGAAAATAAGAGAGACCATAGCATAGCCAATGTCATAGTGCCTGTTGTTTTGTCAGAATCTCTTGTATTGTCAAGTGGTTTCTCTCCTTCCAGGGCATGAGAACAACTTACTTTTCCATGTAAGGAATGAGCGCTCCGGGCGCGCTATCATTGAGACCGTTGCCAAAGTTCATTAAACATGCTGACAACAGTCTAAAGCGATTCATGTACGGGTCCCAGATACCCTGGAGGGCCTCTACACTGTCATCGGGCTCATTGGACGGAGTAGCCGGTCGGCTCATCTCGAGATCTTCGGTCTCGCTCACGTCTACCGGGGTGCTGCTGGTGGGCCCGCCCGTATGGGTAGCCGGACGCCGAATACGTTGCAGCTCAATAGAGTCATCTTGTTGCGGAACGGCTGGGTAGGTCCTTGGAATAGCCCTGGCTGGGGGAGAGGGCGGTCTCAAAGGGGCAGTCTCAAGTGTTGCTGGGGCCGACTCGACCGTGACCAGCGACCGAAGCATTACAGCTTCCATCTTCTGAAGTGGAAAGCAGTCCAGTTACGTATTGATAAGTTAATCGACACAAATGGCAAGAGTGTAGAGTGTTAAAGGCGGTAGTAGTCCAGCACTCCTGACACTCGAACTGCACACGGGCTAGAGAATGGCAGAGGCAAAGCAGGAAATCATCAAAGGAGGAAGAGGCAGGTCACGAAGAACATTTCACGATCGAGTCAAGCTCTGACAGCACCTGATAGATAAGTGTTCCCGCTGTGGCCCTTGACGGGACCCTTTCTTTTTGCTAGTTTCGCTGGGGCATTAGCTAAGTTTGTCAGCACATCAGACTCTCCATTTGCCAATCACGCCCAGAAAAATTGGATCGCCAGCGTCACAGATGGTGGACCGCTACCCGCTTTGCCATCGCCGTCTCCACCACGATACTGAGAATATGGCTGGTCTGCACACCAATACAGCAATCAGACAATTGCGTATGTGACGCTGTGACACCCTGCGTTCTATCAATCCGCGATTACGGGCATCCTGATTAAACCTGATCAGCGGAAAGCTTCAAAGGCCTCTGGCACAAGTTGTCATCGCAGTTGAAGGAATCGGGCCGTTAGCAGCATGAGGGTGAGCCTCTCCGCGTTCTCAAGGCGCTAAGATGGGAGGGAATATGCAGCGAATCCGGGGAAAGCTCGGGTCTAAGACCGCTATAGCTATGGCGGACTTACTCCGCCGCATCAAAAGGTCCGCATGCAGAAATCCCGACAATGCTGCTGTTATCACGTTCAACCGATAGTTTGTGAGCATCACAAAGAGAGGAGCACTAAACCTTGCAACTAGATTGTGTATATGCGGACAGAGATTAAGAAGAGGGAATGAGAACTCTAATGGGATAATGACTTACCGAGTGCAATGACCAATGTCGAAGCCGACAAGAGTATAAAGAATATTCATTTCAGCATCAAGAGACGCTTACCAATGGGTATCCTGAGGCAAAAGACATAGCACATGCGACTAAAGAATTGCGGTTTCCTCCAACTCCCCTATAAATTGTAATTTAATTCTGATCAGCACTGCTAAGGTCGCTTGCGACGTCTAATCTAGGGAGGGTGCATCTAGCAACAAAAGTCAATTCAGGACAATTCCAGATTCCTCAACTTGTCAACCTTTCCATTAATAATGTTATTTTATTTTGAAGTATGACAACTGTTCTCGCTCAACTTGGACTAATGTTCTGACCGCGCAGGAGCAACAATGAGTAGAGACCATGGATTTGAGTAATGTCGCAATTCTGACACATGAGTGCTCTTTCACGTTGTGAAAACGTGCTTGTTGATATGGTTCGTCCTCGAAGTAGGCTAAGTAGGCGATATTTGCGAAACAGGATACTGCCTGTCCTGGGAAATCAAGTCAGCCGGTTCTCGGTATTTGCGTTGACATTTCGTGAAGATTTTGGTAAAATATGTTAAAATCATTTCAAAGTGCATGTTATGGGAAAGGATCAACTCATCGCACCGACGATTCTTGAATCAGGGGTATGCACGTTTTAAATCACTATGAAATCAATTTGACTGGCTCATTAGCCGTCTTATCATGAATCGATGAGTTCTGTTGAATGGACACATCGAAGCCGCCTCCGCTCGCGCCGGCATCCCCAAAGGAGTTAATAAGCTCAATCTTTCAGCCTTTGAGCTTACTCGGCTCGGTCCAGCTCCTGGTCATATCTGCTGTGAATGTTCACATAAGTGAAGGAAGCACCGGTCAACGCCAATAGTATGTCCATGTCAACGAATTTCTTAGAGAGCCGTCCAAGAAAGTGACGAATCCCAGTTCTAGCCTTGATATCCATCCTGTTTAGAGCTGAATAAGTCAGGTATAGCCACTAGACTAAAGGCACGTAGATGATGGGAGTCTATATTTGATCCTTGCTAGTCTTTCTGTCTAGGCCATGACTCTTTTATTTTGACTGCCTTTGACAGGAGTGTAGAAGTTATTCAGGAATAGACATGCTCGTATTTTTTCAGCTTTGATCTCGGCTATCCCCGACTCCGAAGCTCGCAACACGCTTGTAAAGGGTCAGGTACGCGACAAGGTGCAAGTATAAAGTTACTAACCTTCCTACTCAAATGTGACAAGACTCAAATATACCAAACATAGACACTGTTGTATCGTATTCTTCGCGGTGCCGCGCAACGTCCTTTCCTTCACGCGAAAGAGTTTGTTCATCTCAAGATGCCTCCAATTAGCGGCCACAAAGGCGAATACACTTGCAAACACAGCGAAGGAATGGCTACCTATGCTGCTCCCTAATAATTTCAACCACATCGTGCTCGCCAAGCAATCCAAGATGCTCATGAAGGAAAGATACCGCCATTGATTGGTTACTACGCTAGGTTAAGCTCAGTTCCGATAACCAGATGGCTGTCTCCCATGGGTTTCGATGCGGCCTGGATTGACTGGGAGCATAGCTCTTGTAATACGGAGACAATGACCACGGTATGTGAACCGGCAAATTGTGGAAATGAACCGAGAAATTGAGATTTGATCGCAGATGGTTTATGAGACCATGTTTATCAGCCAAGAAAGAACAATTCCTTTCGTTCGGTGAGAAACTCGTGCCATGAAGCCTTCAGGAAGCGCTGACTTTACCCTGGCAGTGTACCTGGTCACGATCACGCCGCCATTGGTTACGCACTCGATGGGAAGCAATTTCCGGAACTTATTTATACAGGTTATGATCACATGCCGCGTGCTGGAGACAAGGACCTGGCCTAAATCTGGACATTTGTTCTCAAGGCGTATCCCATGGAAGGGTTTCCTAGCGTTTCAATGTTTTTATTAGGTAAACCTGACTTCATATGCCATAGCGGGAGCTAGCATTATCGTTCCGCAAGTTGAGACAGTCGAGCAAGCAAAATTTGTTGTTGCTGCTACAAAATATGGTACAAGAGATAATGGTCCTCGGTCGGCGCCGCCTTATCGACTCCTATGGGGTGTCACAGATATCCCGTACGATACTAATCGCGACCTTCATTCTTGTCTTGATGATCAAGCGGCTGTCGTGATCCAGATTGAGTCAAGTAAAGGTGTTGAAAACTTAGACGCAATACTGAGCGAAGTGCCGGAGATTGATGCCGTCTGGCTTGGAACCCTAGATTGCCGTGTTAGCATGAATCTACCTGCAAATCGGGGAAAGCCCCAAAGGAACCAGAGTGGATTGCTCTCCGAGAAACATTCTTTGAAACTTTGAAGAAGCACAATAAGCCATACACAGGCTTCTATATCACCAGTACAGGAACAAAACAAGGGCTTTAAAAGGCAAGCAAGGAGATGGCTATGATGTTTGTAATTATATGAATTACTATGGGTTCATAATAGAGACATAGCCCAGAACCAACTTCAGTGTTAATGAGCAGCTGGAATTATTTGAGAATATCGTAGAATTTCCGCAAGTAATGATTTGACCGAGGTAACTAGTAGTTCCCTCGAGGCTCGCATATATGTGTCGTGAAGCCTTGCCTTGATCATCATCCCCTCTTCCTCCGGACTCGTCTCCCTGGGATTGTGCACACATAAATAATATTTTATGGATTTCGTGGTCCAATAGCAGACCATGGCTTACTAGATCACCTGCTCAAACATGCCGTCATCCTATCAAAGCTATCTTCAAAAGGCACTACCGACGATGCTAGTCATCTGCATGCCACGAACTGATGCATATGCACCCAAATTAGTTGCCAATCATTCTTTACTTGCTGCGTTGTCCCAACTTCAAAGCGGGGAGAAAGACATAGAAGCACCACTCACTGTCCTTCTATCGAGGATTACCTATCAAACCATGCTTTTCTCTAGTTTTCATGCAAGGTAGGCAGTACAACTTGAAGACCCAATCATATAAATACCGCACACAATGTCATGAATTAGTGAACACTTGACATACTGTCCATCAAGCAAGCAGAGCCTCAATATCCACTACATGCTTTAAGTGGCATTCGTTCGAGATCGTGGTGCCTTCACACCCAAATTAGTGTATCTCTTCACATTCTGGGGCTCTCCGTGTTCAATCCAACTATGTGTGATCATGGTGTTAACATGCATTTGTCTTGTCGAATAGAACAATAGTTTACCCCACCGGATTCAGGCTCATGATCGAACAAATGACACAATGTGGCTCATTGACACAGAGACGTTGAACCTGGAGGAGATTGCAAATCCCGAGGATCATCGTTATGCTATCCTTTCACATACATGGGCGCACGACGAAGTTAGTTTCCATGAGATGATGCATCCTGGTCAGGACACTTGCGACAAGGCAGGTTATGGAAAGATAGATATGACATGTCGAATCGCTAGGAATAGGGGGATCAAATATGCCTGGGTCGACACATGTTGCATTGATAAAACAAGCAGTGCTGCTCTGTCCGAAGCTATAAATTCAATGTTCCGCTGGTACCGAGATTCGGCTGTTTGCTTCTCCTACCTATCAGACCTCGTATGTGACAGCACTTTCCAAGTCAACCAGAAGGAGACAGCACAAGCATTGGAGAAGTGCAAGTGGTTCACCAGAGGATGGACTTTACAGGAACTGATCGCGCCGGAGGTCCTGGAATTTTATGACGAGGACTGGAACATGCGAGGCACTAAAGAGTTTTTCCGTCATGATATTTCCAATATCACAGGCATTGACGTCGAAGTGCTTGAGAATAATGAACTATTATCTACAATCCCGATTGGTAGACGGATGTCATGGGCGGCCCAGCGTCACACAACTCGGGTAGAAGATCAGGCATACTGTCTTTTCGGGATATTTGGTGTGAACATGCCAATGATATACGGCGAAGGGATGAATGCTTTCATCAGGCTACAAGAGGAGATCGCTAAAAACACGAATGACCTGACACTATTCGCGTGGACCTCTCAAGTCAGAAGCAAAGTGGACCAACGGCCAACATATCGCGGCCACAGTGGCGAAGACATTCGTGGGATACTGGCACGTTCGCCCCACGAATTTGCTGACTGCAGGAATCTCAAGA